GCACTGCGCTGCGTCCCGTAGGACGTGCCACTGGAGGGTGGCCGCGTCGGGGAGGATGGCGACGCGGGTCGTCTTCCCTGGGGAGGCGGGCGGTCGCGAGATGGCTCGGCGGATCAGACGCTCGTCCGCAGCGGCCAGCTGGGGGATGTCGTCGTACCGGACGATGGTCACGCTGGCTGGCGGCTGCGGGGCGTCGCCGTCCTCCTGCTGGGCGGGCACGGGGAATTCGAGATGGTCGCTCTCGAACGGCCTCCAGCCGTGCTTGTTGTAGAACTCTTTCCCGATGTCGGACCAGAGCACGGAGAGGAGCGCGCCCTCGGCCTGCAGAGTCTCGCCCAGGCGGGCCATCATGGTGCTGGCATGGCCCTTGCCCCGGAAGGCGGGATCTGTGAAGACACTGGCCACGCCGTGGGCGATGACCTCACTGACCTCGCCGTCGGGTCGCCTCACAAGCGCGCGCTTCCTGAGCGTCTCGCACGACGACAGGATGTCGCGTGAATCGGGCTGCGAGTCTGCCTCGACGAGCACCCAGGGCCTCAAGCCGCCATCGCGGGCCAGAGGCAAGTCAGCCTGGCGGGTTTCGCGCAGGATATATCCATCGAGGCTGAGTGCCGCGCCCCATAGAGGGTGCGTGCACGTCCAAGTCTGCCGACTTTCGTCTGGCGTGGGGTTGGCCAGGATGAGCTCTCGGGCCATCGCGTCAGGGATCTGGATCAACGGACTGAGACTTCAGGGTCGAGTGAGACTGGTTGGCCGTCGGTAGGTGGCAGATGGAGGTAATCTGCCGTGAGCCGGTGCAGGTGCTTGATGAATAGGGCATTGTTCTGGAACTTTTTCGAAGGATGGAGACCAACAAGGGCTATCTGACCCGACCTGCTACGTAGCATACCGAGCCCGCACCGCATGCAGTCAATAATAATGACTTGGTTCCCACTGTGGCTTGCATTTACGAATGGAACAAGCAAAAACGTACATTTTATTGACATTCTCTTGCTTGTTAGTGCAATTGATTATTTTCAGGAGTGTGGGCTGTGGCTCGTCGGCGACCTGAGATGGCCAATGAGCTTGCCACTCCCGCTATGTGCCTATATTTAAGCTATTAATGCCGAAGTGATGTCTGTGGCAAGGCGGGAGCCACTCACTAGCCACCTTGCTTGTGAGATTCATGTCACGTAGCGTTGACCATCTGGAGATGGCCGGGATGCGTGTGGCGCCGGGATTGTGATCGGATCATGCCTTTCCTCATGGCACTTTGTTCACGCTCGCGAGATCGTTATGCCTCGTGTTGAGCCTCAAGACTAAACATAGCGGTGATGGACTTTTGTCTTCTTTTTCCAATGATGGTAACAATTGATGACCTGCAAGCACAAAGCCTCCGGCGCCAGCAGGGGTGAATGGCAAGATATCGTGAAAACAGATACGATATGCCCCAAAATTAGATATTCGCCATCCAACACGAATAGAATATCGCCATCATTGCCGTCGAGTGTTGTTTTCGAGCCTCACGATGCTGGACCGTGAGGCTTGGGGATCTTGCCCTATACAGGCTACGCCAAGCTCGCCTGCAGTATCACAGATCTCAGAAGAGCCTCGATCTGGACAGTCCTACCTACATACAGATGTGCCAGTGCGGCTGTGTACTTCCAAAACGGCCCCAAGTCGAGACGTCATGCGGCCCCGGCGCGATTGACGTAGATCACTGGCCAATGCAGCTGTCGTGTGGTAGGTGCGTGCATGACTGGATGCCCTCTTAGACGATACAGAATTTTGGGTTCCGCCCCAACAGGTCCGGGAGAGCCTCCCGAATCCTGGGTCCACCTTACAACGTTACTACGTAGTATTAGATTTTGCCGGTCTGCTGTCAAGGGATGTGGGATGTGTGTGGAAAGGCCTCTGGCCTGGCCCAATGAACGCATCAAATCAGAGACACCAAGACCGAAGATCAACTCTAGCCGGCAGATGGATCCAAGCGGGCGGGACTCAATCTATGGTAGCTCTCGAGGTCTCAATCTAAGCGGCTGAAGGCTCGATTGTGGTGGTGGTTGTTTTGGTGAAGCGATAATTGAAAAAATTCTCTTTCTATCACCTCCGCCTTTTCGATGGTCAATACTGGGCAGTATGCGTCAGACCGCGGATGGAACATCGTCTCACACACAAGAAGCCAGGGTGAGTCTCATCATTGTTGCAAAGCGAGATGCTTCTCTCGATGCTTCGTCCCCTCTGCAGCGACTTTGGTGGGATATCCATCCCATCATCGGATACACGATTATGCACCGGGAATGATGCAATGCATGGGCATATCTGAGATTCCGGAGTCGCCGTATACCAGTTCTAATCTGGCTCAGTTGTGGGCTGCAGGGCTGAGGCTGAGTCGCAAGGCCAGGCCCGCATATACCATTTGGCGGGATAGTGGCTTCGGGCCCCTGCCTAGCAGCCGTGAGTAATGTGTTATGTGATGTGCCTGGAGCACAGTTAGCGGCGTCTTAGCGCCGGCGGCTGCTCTGGCTGTAGGCCTATTCATGTAACGTCGGGAGGGTTGGGCTGGAAACCTGGTCAGCTCTGCCCATGAAAGATGCTTCCTGATAGGGCAGCTCCTATTTTGGACTCTCACCGCTGGGTGGGTGGTGCATGAGAATTGCTCTGCTGGGAATGACGGCAACAACCTGGACGGCCAATTCTCCCACCTCTTCTCGCATGACTCAATTGGGACGGCGATGCAAGAACTCGTGAGAGCATCTGAACCCATGGGGTGGGGAGAAGTGCTGGCGTCACTTTCCACATTGGGCCAGCTACCTGTCTGCCAATGCAGGCAGACTCAGTTCTGCATCACTAGTGCCCGACTTTTTGCACCGTAACACCCTCAGTTCTGGTCCCAGCAGGTCGGCGTCCTGTAGGTGACGACCCCTTCGCTGCCCGTGGGGCTATGCTTGAGTGTAGGGCTAATACCCACTGTGATGAAGCAAGGGAACAAGCGAAGTGCTGGGGTAAGATGCCAAGCTCGAGCCAGATACGTACCTCCCATCAACACATCTACAGCCACGCGATGGCGGTTTTGGTTGCTAAAAGTGTGCAACTCCGGTGGGGACGTCAGCCCGGGGAGTGTCCAGCCGCGCCGCCGCAAAGACTATCAACAGCCTGGAAGCTGAATAGAAGCTTTGCTTAGACGCCAAGTATAATATGAACTTATCGTCCCCGACTCTTGACGTAACCGCCATCAATCGTACCGTAGTTCTCTTTAACCGCGTCCCAAGACAAGGCTTAGACGCCAGCGACGGATCCTCAGATCTATAAGATCATTGCTGGAACCCGACCTTACCAATCGTCTGGAGTCTCCCTCAATCACCCCCCTCCTCTTTCCTCGAGCTTTTTTTTTTTGAGATGTATGGACTGAGAATTGACCCTTTCTTTCCCCGAATCCCATGCTGGATGGCCTCGTTAACCAATTGTTCTACAGGGCCAATTCCGAGGCAGTCAGTCGGGCAGGAACCTCGACCTTCGCACTCAAGAATCGACCACGAGCCACTCGGGCGATTGTGAAGAAGGTTCGCACTGGATGCATTACCTGTGAGTGAACCACCTCATTGCTCACACGAATTTTCTCTTCCGTCCCATCCTGACACCAATTAGGCAAGCGGAGGCATGTGAAATGCGACGAGCAAAAGCCCGCCTGCCAACGGTGCATTAAATGGGGAGGCCAGTGCGAGGGCTACCAGAAGCGACCCGAATCGGCTGCAGCGAGCGAAAACCAGGAATCGGAAGCCCAGAGCTCAGCGAGCGAAGAGACGAGTCCGCGAATCCCCACATCACCCGAATCCGAGGGCCAGCTTCCCTCCTGGTACCCCGCCATGATGGCTGAGAGCAGGAGGCTTCTGTATCTTAGAAATCACACCGTTGTCCCCATGGAACCTGGATCATCGCCGGCTTCGATGACCACCCCCCCAATGGCGGGTACCCAGGGGCAGCAGGATGTTTTCTGGAGCACAACCGTCCCGCTGATGCTTCGAACCAACGGATCGGTCTGGGCCGCCAACGTGGCGATCCATGCCCTGATCGAGTCCCTGAGGTCCAACATGACAGGCGCTTTCACAGAGGAGGGTCGCAATGCTTACAGTCGGGCACTGAGGCATCACGGCTCCGCTCTGGCGGAGCTGAGGAACGAAGCGATGGGCAGCGGCGATATGGAATCGGCCACCGTCTGCTGTTTGTTCTTCGTCGTGTTCGAGATGCTTCACGGAGACGAGGTCGCGGCAAGGACGCACATCTACAACGGGTGCAGGATGATTGACGAGCTGCAGAGGAGCCGGGGGCTTCGACCGGTGCGGCCTACCGTTGAGAACGCGATGCTCTGGGAGCTGCAGAAGTCGATACGGTTTTTGATGCTGCAGACGCAGGGGGCCAACCACGGACAGGAGCTGGATATGTTGGGTAGCGCTGGACCTTCAATTTTTTAGATTCCATTAGAAATGGGAGGATCGGATATGTTATGTTTCGGATGCATATATTTGATTTAGCTTAGCGGGGAAAATTACTTTGATAATACATAATAAATACGGAAACCACATTGGCCAATTGCGCAAAATCCGTCCTGGAAGAAATGGCAGTTGCGAGCAGATACGTCACTGAGGCCGACCGAGATGCACCTTCCTCATGGGAGGCTAGCGAGCCGTTGAGTCTAATAAACGGGAAGGAAGGAATCTGTTCTCACTGATTGGCCTGGGCTGGTGGTTGCTGTCGGTGGGCAGGTACTTTGGTTTCGGGAGTCGGCAATACCACACTACCTCACTGACCCTCACCTTATCCAAGTCGGCCTCAAGCCCCAGCTGAGAAAATTTAGTGGGCTGGTGGGGTCCTGAGAAAGCTGGAGGCAAGGCGAGGGGCAGTACCAAACGCCGTGAGGAAGCGGGTCGGTGTGCTGTCACTGCCACCACCGCCACCACCACTAAAAACGTCACATACCAGCCCTCCTCCAAAAGTCGTACCCAAGGGCTTCAACGCACAACATGGCGCTCCCTCTCCCCCCAGGGCTGGTCCCTTCCGAAGTAGCTTTCCTATGCGAAATGGAACACGTCACAATCGTTCCTAGGCAAAGACTCGAAAGCATTGAGCTTCTCTCGGTAAGCACGCGTGCCCCTCCTCCCCCGACACACCGAACAACGCGCTCCCACGCCATTGAACCACCATATCAAGACTCACACGCTCCTCGATGTAGGGTGCCACGCCCTCCCTCCGACCCCCTCGCCGGGAGGACATCCCCCTCTGGCTGGCCCTGCTGCTCAAGAAGCAGCGCCGAGCCAACATCCTGCCGCCGCCCTGGCTGCACGTCGACTCCCTCCGCGACCTGATCCATCACGAGACCGTCACCGACCCAACGGGCTGGTCCCTGCCGCCCCCTCCCCCCGTCCGAGCCGACGGCAGAGGAAACGCGCGCAGGCTCAACTCGGACGCGACCACCGTCCTGTCCCCGCCCTTCCTCCCCTCGTGCACGTCCAGCGCGCCCGCGGGGGCCCTGCCGTACCACTGGTTCGAGTTCGCCGAGATGCTGCTCGCCCACGCCAGCGACGACGTCCCCTCCGCGTCCGACGTCCGCTCGCTCCTGCGCGACCTGCAGGAGGTCCGCGCCGCCAAGATGAGGACCAGCATAGCCGGGCTCGAGAGCGGCGTCGACGGCGTCATGAGCCTGCTGGGTGTCGGGGCCATGGAGCTCTCCGAGAGTCGCGGGTTCGTCACGGGCGTGGTCGAGGGCGTGCGGAAGCTGGGGGCCAGCGCGGAGGCTTCGCGGCGGGAGGAGGAGGAGGAGCGTGGCGGTGCTGATGACGATGAGCCGAGCGATGATGACATGGGGATCTGAGCAGAGAGCAGTAAGCCGTTCCCGCTGTCACTTCTCTCTCTGTGTGAGACCGGAAAAATCTTGCGCTTTGGCCATATGCTACGTGTGATGCCGAGAGATGGTCATCCGCATTTTTAATGGGAAGTGTTCTGGGTCGCGGCATTCGATGGCCCCCAATGGCCCCCTCACCGATGCCACCTGCACAGCCGAGTTGAGCCGCCTTTGGTGGACCATCGTGAGAGATTCTTATTACGACATTTGGATAGATAAGAGTCTTTTGTGCGGATTAGCTGGCCTTGGGCATGCGCCGCTCATCGAGTGGCCGAAATATGCTGAGCAAAAATAACCCAACATAGCAAGAATGCTCCCACATCAGGGGCAAGACTCACATCCCACCTGCGCCTTGGCCCAGCGTCCAGTCCGGTTTGGAGGCTGTGTCGTGTTTTTATGAACGACATCATGGCAGAAAGCCAGCAGAACGTCTCCTGAAATAAGGAGACGGCTCTGACTCACAAGGACATATCCATCCAGGCAAAGCTGGAGGGCGAGAGACAATAGCGTTAACATAAGACTACTAGTATATTAATGCTGTCAACCAATGTTCTAGTCTAAACCCATCTATAATAGAAACATCGCGCGCGCGCTCTGATATGAACACAAACGCCCCAACGCCATTCTTAAAATCAATACACCTTCATCATCAAATCATTAGTCGGACTCCATTACCGGTCCAGGTCTTGCATCTCTGTTCATGGCATCCCTCACTGCAGCTTTGACGGCTGTGTGGAGGTCCGCATGGAAGAATGGGCGGTCAACGCCATGCACGGCAGCCATTTTCTGCTTCTCCTGAGGCTGGCTAGGAGTGATTGTGTTATAATTTGTAGAAGCGACCGTTGGCGCAATCGTCTCGGTCTCCGTGTCAGTGTGTGCGGTTTCATTCGCCTCGAGGTCGGTCTTGGGACGGTTCTCATTCAGTCCTGGATCCAGCACGGCGGCAATGGTATACGCCGGCTGCCAGCAGGCAATGGCGTCGCTCTTCTGGGAGGAGGGGTACCCAAACCCAGATGCCGTGAGCGCGCGACGGGTCCAGCGGTTGTGGACGTTGGCAAAGTGCAGTTCCACCGAGTCGGGGGAGCAGTACCTGTCGAGGGAGGCGCGCAGATCAACCAGACCTTGGACCGAAGTGACGTCCAAGTTGTTGACTGATGAGAAATCCAGGACTACTGCATGCAGGAATGGAAGGTCTGCGCTCTTGTGCGTCTTTGGTCCTGGGTCGTTCCAGAGCCGGTCTGACTTTTTCTCGAAATGCTCTTCAGATGTGCGCTGTGTGGTCGCCTCGACATACTCGAGGATTTGGCGGATGTGGAGCGCCTGGTTGGTGTAATTGAATCCCTCAATAAAGCGATAGATGATCACACCTGGGTAAGGCGTTTCAAGCTTGATGTTAGAGTTGGACGCATCGTTTCGACTCAGTGGAAGGTATAATTCACGCTCTTCGTTACTGCCACCGAGACTAGAATCCTTGTTATCGGATGTCTCTTGGGCCCCTGCACTGTTGTTGTTCTTGCCAACGACTTCCTGAGCAGTCGTGCGGCCCAGGAACTCTCCTTTCGTCCTGGACAGACGAATGAGCAGCATGACGAATGAGAGAGCAATGCCGACGTAGATTGAAGTCTCCAGAGACTCGAAAATAGCAAGTAACACGCAGATGACCCAAATGATCAGCTCAAAGGGGGATAGCTTCCAGTACTTGTACAAGTTCTTGGGAGGTGCGATGAGGTTGCAGACTGCGTGTATAATGAGGCCAGCAAGGGCGGCGTTGGGAATGTAGGCAAATACAGATGTCAGCACGTACAGAGCGAGGACTAATATTCCAGCGCTGAACAGGCCAGCCAACGGAGTCCTCACTCCAGCCTTGGAGAGAACAGCAGACGCGCCAAAGGAGCCAGTGCACACATAGCCTCCCACAAAGGGGCTGAACAGGTTGGCTGCTCCAAGGGCAACAATCTCTTGCGACGGGATGATGGTGTAATTGAACATTCTACCCATGGCCTTGGCAATGGCGATGTGCTCGATTATAAGAATGATAACAATGGCAGGTAGTTCAGAGAGAATGAGGACGAGCAAGTCAGGGTCCAAGTTAGGCACACTGGCCTGCTTGAAGCCCGCCTCGATATGTCCGACAACCTTAAACTTGGGATTGTTCAGATCTTCAGTGCGATTGACAAGATAGCTGATCAAGGTGTAAAGGATCATGGTGAATGTCAGCCTAAGCGACGAGATGAAAGACCACTGTCTCTTTCGAGCCGGTTGGCGCTTCTCCATCATGGTGCAGAAGTCGCGGATAGCAAAAAGCAAGACAATGGAGGTTACTCCAATCGCGGCGTCGAGCCTGGCATTGGGAAGACCCTTCAACGTATTGATGATGACCTTGTAGGGAGCTTCGCGGGTGTTGATCCCCTTGATCCCGAGGGCGGTCGGGACCTGGGTGGACATGATGGTTATGCTGGCGGCAGTGACGAAGGCAGAGATGGGGATGTAGGGGATGAATTCAATGATCCAGCCGAGACGCAACAGGCCGAGGAAGAGCATGATGGCTCCAGATAGAAGGCTTAGTGCACGTGCGATTTCCTGGTTCTCGTACTTATTAGGCGCTGCCTCTTGGACATGCGTGACGACCTGTCCAACGAGTAGGGAACCCACGGCAGTAGTCTAGAACGGCGATTAGTCTTGGCTCAACGGTCCAAAGCTAGGTGGTAGAGGGGCAACTGGGTACGCACGCCAATAACAATATCCTTGGAAGTTCCGAATATCCAGTACAAGACAGCTCCGGTGAACGAGGTGTACAGCCCGTAAGCAGGGTCTAGCTGCGCCAGAACAGCGTATGCCATTGCTTGAGGGATGACAACCATGCCAATTGTCAAGCCGGCAATGACGTCTCCCAGAAGCCAGCGAGGACAGTACCGCCAGATCCACGAGGCGGACGGGAACAGGCTCTGTACGTAGTGAATGGAGCCATCTCGTGTAGGAGCGAGCTCCTTGATCCACTCGCCTACAGTAGGTTCTTGATCAAGAAAAATATCTGCTGGTTCAAGGACCTCCTGAGCGCGGGTATGTAGATCGGATGGGCGATCATCTGTCTTGGGACCCAGGACAAAGTCGCGGATTTTGGATGTTTTAGAAACCATGATGATCGATTGGTAGGGCTGATTGGCTGGCTGGGGTGAAATGCGAGGCAGCAATTGAAAGTAGACAGCCACCCATCAACGGCGTCAATGAGGAGGATGCAAACAAAATTTGTCGAGGGTGGGTAAAAATAACAATAATGATATTGTCTGGTCAAGACAAGGCTTATATGATCTTATCCAAGGATAATAAAAGAAATCGACACATGCTAGCAAAAGCAGACCACTCGGACGTTTCATGACAATGGGCAGACTTCTCCCTAGGTGGTGGCGTCAAGCAATTAATATAGAAAAGGGAGGGAGAAAATCATGGCCCCCCCGGGGAACACAACGGCAGCCTGAAGGATATCGGAATGGGCCTGCATAGCTGTTGCCGTCGCCCAGCAGGAACAGACAATGGGCCTCCCGATTCTGCATAATCTGGGCCTAGTGCTATCTCTGTCCGCCATTTAATGAGTGTGTGGAGGGCACTAACAGTCTCCTGCTGGGTCATGTCCCTCCCGCCCCTTCCTGTGGTTTAGATCGGGAGGCGCTTCCCCTCCTTCTACCAGTCCACCACCGATTTCCCCAAGCCCCATCTCGCTTGGTCGGCGGCTGGGCAATCGCCGTTTATCTGCCCACGGCCCCATCTTGACCTATTCCCAGCCAAGTTCTAGAGCAACAGGGTCGGGGTGGCGCCGCGCACAGTCTCCCTCCCCAGACGGCACTCGTCGGTCGTCGGTCGTCGGCCGTGGGTCCAAGCCCGGAGCTCTGAGCCCGGGCCGCATCACTCCACTTCTGCTCGGCCCCTGTCCGCCCACCGCCCGGATCTCGCACGCCCACATCCATGTCTGCTTGCATCCATGCCTCCTTTAGTAGGTAGGATGAAAAAAATTGTGCCCAACAGCGGTGTGCCCGTGTGTGTGTGTATCCTTATCGCCTCAACACTCCCAGGGAGCCGGTCTCGGCTAGAACCTTTTGCGAGCTGTGTGGTATGTAGCGGGCGTTTCTACTCACCCGACTTTTATTTTCTGCAGTATGATGATCTACGCTTTGTCTCAACAGACGCGTCTTTCGAATACAAGATATGTACTTGTCCGCCAAACAATCATAGATCAATTACACTATGAACCCGGTAATCTTTTTATCCTGGCTCAGAACCAGGCAACGGTGATCCCAATACGAACCATCGGTAAGGTTGTTAAATAAGTCTAATAACCCTGTTGGCCAAGCTTTATGTGTCATCCCTGCGGCCACTGTTGGTCCCAGAAAAATTAAACCAAAATGTCTGTTGTCGGCCCGCCGCTGGCTTCCGGCTCGGCTGGGCTTTTTCTCTACTGCATGCAGCCTCCGCCTTCGCCTGTTCAGTGGGTGCATTCCAGTCACGATCTTAAGATCAACATGCTTAACTCTTGCGTCATCAAATGCCTGTGTGCTTGAAAATTAGAAGACCGAAATTGTGATTTACAAGGTTATCGAACCTGTCTCCAGATGTGATGTGCGTTGCTCCCTCCATGTCCAGGCACGTGGCGAGAAAGAGTCGTCATGCATTTGTCTATGTTTAGCCGCGTCTGATGCGGTTTGGAATACAGGTTTGTGTATTTTCGCGGTGCGCCGTTTCATCGAACTAATTTTTTTTCTTTGTCCTACGTAGCACTCATACTGATCCCGAAGACTTGGCCATGCTCCCTTTGTGAATGACCTCAGGACTTTGCGCCCGCATCGTTGACGGCTCTCGGCGCCGCGCCTCGGCCAAAATTTAATCGGTAAGATATACCAGGATCAATTTCGACTCAATTCAACAGTGGATTTTTAGAAATGCGCGTTAGTGCCTACTCTCTCCGGGATAAGCATGTT